GCCACCCCCTGGTGCGGGATGACCGTGGTGTCCAGGGACATCCCGGGGGTGTCACCCCCTGGTGCGGGATGACCGTGGTGTCCAGGGACATCCCGGGGGTGTCACCCCCTGGTGCGGGATGACCGTGGTGTCCAGGGACATCCCGGGGGTGTCACCCGCTGGTGCGGGATCGTGGTGGCATGCGGGGACATCCCCGGTGTCCTGAGACCTCCCGGGGGTGTCACCCGCTGGTGCGGGATCATCCTGGTGGCTCCGGGGACATCCCCGGGTCCCGGTGGTGCCCCCCGGTGCTGACCCGGCGAGGGGAGAGCAGGAGTGTTTGCCAGAGATAGAAAGGGGTTTGTTGAACCGGCCCCCATCATCAGCTCCTTAGTCTCACTTTCGGTTTAATCCTGTTTGTCTCGAGTTCAGTGTAACCCCGTTTTGGTTTTCCCCAGTGTCAGTTTAACCCTGTTCTTCTTGAGTTCTCACCCCGGGGAGGGAATGTGTATATATTTACTTATAATCTTGTTTATTTACTTATATACTTATGCTGTTTATAAATTTGCCCAGTGAAAAGCACATTCTCTCAGGACTTCCCATGAAAATTACGGTTTGCCTTTTAAAAAGTAGCAAATCTTTAATTGTTTGGGGTTTTTTTCCTTGTTGTACTCTGTATGTACTTTTATTCACATCAAAGAAGTTGAACTTTGTGTTAGTGTGCACAGGCAGGATTTTAGTGCAAGATGAAGCAACTCCATTAACTTTAGCAAAGTATTTAATTAATCCCTGTCGTAATTTAGCAGGTCCAACTTGTTTATTCCATATGTTTATAAAGTCACTCACGTACAGTCAATGTCTACAACCATAAATTTGTGCCAAACCACACAGTATTACATGCTGGGGTATTGTTGGCTTGGTCCTTCCAGGTGATATTCATGTGCTGGAGTCTGCAGCAGTCCATATGTTTGGGATGGCAGTGAATGACAGGGCAGCTGAGATGGTAAAATCAGTCAAACCCACCATTTTTTATGCTTCTCCTTATGTGCTTTGGTAGGGAAGTGCCATCAAGAGGTTGTCCTTTTGGTACAGCTAAATATGTGTATAAATAATCTGTTTGAGGGTGGTAGGAAAGGTTGCTGTGGATTTTCTCAGCAGGAGTGTTGAGGCTGGAGCTGATGTCACGTGCTACGTGACTGCGAAGTTTCCCTGATGTTAAACTCGTTTCCCTTCTGTGACTTTTCAGCTTCAGGAAGAGACAGAAATGTGGAAAATAAGGGAGTGGGAGAAGCAGACAGAAGAGACTTACTGGAAAAGGCAAAGCAGAATGCTGTCAGACACCTCCAGGTGAGACACACCACAGAGTTATTCTCTGCTTAACGAGTCCCTGGAAAGAGCTCAGGCCTGTGCTTAAGTCTGACCATTTATGCCTTCATCTAGCTGTGTAATCTCCAAGGTTATTGATGACTTAGCTGGGTTCTGGGGGGCTCTGGGGTGGTTTCTCCCTCAGGGCTGGGCTGAAGGACCCTGTTCTCTCGCCCCCCAGCAGTCGGATGCGCAGCGATGGCTTCGATGAGGAGGGACACAGGGCTGAGTGGAAAACAAGGAACCCCCAATTCCTTGACCTGGTGGAAGATGATCTCCTCAGGGCCCGATCCTGGAATAAAAAGCTCTACGAATGTGAAGCCAACATGCCAGACAGGTCTGTGGGGACATTCATGTTCTGGGATTATAACTGTAATTAAAATACCTTTTTGGAGTCCTGTATACATTTTTCTGTTCAATGTGTACTCCTATAAAATAATGCTCGGGTTCATCTTGAGAATGAATAAGTGACATGTACAAACTTCTGCAGTGTCACACAACACCTAATTTGAGTTTCTAAGCCACAGTAAGCAGCAAAAGCTCAGCCCTAAGCTTAATATTTATTACTTTGCCCAAGGAGCTTAAAAGAATCTCAAGAAACACAAACTAGTGCTCTCCAGGGTTGTTTCAAAGAAATTTGAGTTGTAGTTTTCTCTAACTATAAATGGAAAAGAGACTGAGAACTTGAGGTACATTTAATTAGCACCAACCAAATCAGCCATATTTCCTTCCTCTCTGTCTAAACTCATGTCCTTTCTGTGGCTCTGGCTTTTCAGAATTGTATTTTTGTCCTCAAACACGTTGCCTGTTTCTGACAGATGGTTCTGCTTTCTTACAGGTGGGGGCACAGTGGGTATAAAGAGCTGTACCCTGAAGAATTTGATACAGACAGGTAAGGCAAGCAGCTTCACTGATGGATCCAGAATCCTCCTCCTGTCAAGTTAGGCAGGGAATTTTACAATTCCCTGAGTTTTACAATTCCCTGAGTTTTAAATTTTGGATATAGATCAGCCTTGAATGTAAAGCCTTACTGTTACATGAAAAAAAAAAATCAATTAATGTGGTGCAAGTCTTAGGAGGGGATCAAATCTTTTATAGTAATTAGACATTGAGGTTTAGCTGGAGTTACTAAAACCTGTGAATCTGGAAGGTAAATAAATCCTTGCACTGTCCTGGAGAGTGGAGACTTAACTGAAAAATAAGATGTTAGAGAGAATTTAATTATTTTTAACCTGCACCCAGCAGGATCCTCAACAGTGAACACCCTCCTGTTCTTTTTGCAGTGACCAGCAAGAAGGAGATGAGCAAAACGCTGTCAATGGGAAGAAGAAATCCCACCTGGGGAAGCAAACTGCCCGTGAGTCCCACAAGAGGAAAAAAACAAAGAAATCCCACAAGAAGAAGCAGAAAAAGCGCTCCCACAAAAAGAGGAAGAAAAAGAAAAAGGAGCAGGGGAAAACTTCCACAGATTCCTCCCGGGAGAGCGAGTGCTCGGCAGAGGAGACTCCAAGCACCCGGAAAGGAAAACACAAGCGCAAGAAAAAGACCAGGAAAGTGCCTGCCAAGGAACCTACCTCTTCTTCTGGGCAGGACAGTGACTTTTCCCATGCAAGCAGCTCATGCACCAGCAGCTCTGAGGACAGTGAGTCTGAGGGGAGGAAAGAGAAACGGCCCCCAAGGAAGAGGAAGAAACGTCCCAGCTCCGCGTCGGAGCGGCAGAGTGAAGTGCCAGAGAAGAGGAGCAAGAGGAAGAACTGGAAGGTGGCGGGTGATGAGAAGTCTGAGGACAGCTCAGATGAGGACTGACGGGTCTGGGCTGCAGCTCAAACTGTGAGGGGGAGGACAGGGTCAGGTATTTATTGTTCAGCACTGCCCCATGGTACAACTTGTCCCAGCACCG